ATACTGCTCTTAATAGCAGTTTGAAGAGAACGGGGAGACATGAAAGTGGAAAATGTGAATACTGTAATATGGAGGAAAATGTAGAGCACGTTATAATGAAGTGTCCAAGATACGGAGAGGAACGAAAGATACTGATGGATGTCCTCAAGCAAAATAAAGAAAAACTTAACTTGATGAACATTTTGGGGAATAAATCAGGGGATAAAAACTTTCAATGTTTAATGCGTTATTTAAAGGACACGGGATTATATAATAGAATTTAGTGTAGAGTACAGTCCTGATCCACTCCTAATCAGTAGGTGACGGTAATGCACCTAAAAGTTGTATGCCATCCGCCATTAAACACCAAGAAGAAGAAGAAGAAGAAGAAGAAGAAGAAGAAGAAGAGTTGTGCGGTGAGTGTGAACTCTTTTTCTTCTTTCTTCTGTTCCTCGGGTTTGTAAACTACTCACGGACTCATGCAGCAAGCTCCTCGGTAGCCTGTGTTAACGAATCATATTGTATATGGTGTTATTTTAATGCTAAATGTGAGAGATGCACAGCACACAGTTTGAGTGAGAGGAGAGCACGCTTTAAGAGCGAGAGCAAAGGAAATCCGCTCGCGCGTTATATTAATGTGCTTCCGCGCTACAAGAATGCGCTCTTATTGCATATTATTATTATTATTATTATTATTATGTGGAACAGGCCTACAGCGAAGTGATTCTCTTTCAATTGTAACGGATACAAGGTGGAATACAACGGTTTAATAAGAAAGATGTGCATCAAAATCTTGTTTAATAGAAATATCACGATTTTATCACAATTCTTTGTCATCGTGGTTTTGCTAATTTGCAAGTTGTCTGAGCAGTACAGCCAAACTAATTAACCTACTATAAAGACAAAGCCTTTCAGGGTAATAAAATAAAATAAAAAGAATGGCGGATATTTAGGCTAAAGTGGGCGAAGATAAAACTCTGTCATTATTTTATCTTTGTTATCAAAAAATAAGAACGAAGATACACATTACAACTACACATAATATACAAATACCACAAACAGTGCTTTATTTTCAGGTACAATATGTATTCAGCAGGAGCATTCAAGAAATTGAGTGAACAAATATAAATATAAAACACTATATAGACTGATTCCTAACACACCTGTTTTAAAGAGAGTGAGTGATTCTTCTCTGTTTTGTTGTTTTATTCTCGTGTGTGTGTGTGTGTGTGTGTGAGAGAGAGAGAGAGAGAGAG